GGTGCCACGTGCACTTATGGACACCCTTGTGCTCGAACATGGTGTTCATTATGGAAAAACTGTGACTAGCACAGAAGTCCAGTAACAGAACACCACTCGGGTTCAGATCAGGAAGGCCGTTCCTCCCAATCACCCCTCCCCCAAGTGTCACTGTCGTTGCCCACATGGGCATTGAAGTCCCCCAGTAGAACAACAGAGTCTCCGGTCGGTGCACTGTCTAGTACCCTTCCCAGTGACTCCAAGAAGGCTGGGTACTCTGCACTGCTGTTCGGCCCGTAGGCCGACACCACAGTGAGAGACCTGTCCCCGACCCAAAGGTGCAGGGACGCGACCCTCTCGTTCACCGGGGTGAACTCCAACACACGGCGGCTGAGCTGTGGGGCAATGAGCAGGCCCACACCAGTCCACCGCCGCTCCCCGCGGCCAACGCCAGAGAAATGGAGAGTTCAGCCACATCAGCCTGTTTGAGATTATAATGTGTTTAATGCAGCTTTGCGCAGACTTAACTTGCATAAACAGTGCGCTCCTCATGGCGCTAATGCGGTTCAGCGTCTTTCGGACGAAAGGACATGACTCAGTGGAATATGAGTGTTCTTTCTGTGAGGATGTGCTGCTGATGACCTTGTCTGTAAATGGTGGAAAAGTTTTGTGGTGCTAGAAGCTGTTCACTGACAGCAACTTTCGGCACTCACGGCGACAGTGAGTGAATGAGACACAAGCAGCAAAATCAGGGAGGCGGGGATGCGCACAGAGAAGACAAACAAGCGAAGCGACGAAATCAAAATTGAATATAAGCATTATATCGATATATACGATATGTCAAAATCCATATCGAGTTTAAAAAATATCGAGATATGTTTAAAATATCGAGATATCGCCCACCCCTACGCCAAATCCCTTAAGAAGAAGAGTAATAATGTCTTTCCCCTTGATAAAATTCACTAAACATTCTCTTCGTTCTAGCTTCTAAATCCTCGATCTCGGGAATAGTTGCCAACACTGAACTGCTTTGTTTACTGTTGTGCTGTACCACAAAATGGACCCAGACAGGTGCTTGAGTTTGATGTCATGGCTTCACAGCTCTTCACCGATTGGCCGGTACATGGTCTACAACTTCCGGGGTTCTTGCAAACTGTCTAGTGTATTTCATTTCCTGACCTAGTTGCTGGAGAGAAATGAAATTGAGCGGCGGCACTAGGTGGCATCAGTCTGGCTACATGAATGCCACCAACCCCATCTTCTCATCTCGGAATCCTGGGTTCCTGAGGACCACATGAATGTAGCAGTTTACAAAATTTGGCTGATACATCTCTACAGGCATTTTGCACACTTGTTTCAAACATGGTAAAATTGCCACGGTAACGGATGTTGTTGTTTTGTTTGTTTTTTCATCCCAAGCTCTATTAAAAAGTGGCAAGGACGGCAGACTGGTAGATAATAATTTACATCTAAACTGTAATCTGGCAATATTTGAATAGTTTATAAATAAAAGGTGCTTAATGAATAGATGTCTGAGCCAACATATCCCAGTTTATGTGTCAAAACAGGACACACACATGTCTTGTGTATCCTAAGAATAAGTTGCTTCCAGGCCTATAGGGAGAATATTCTTCATTTGGTATGCATGTAAACATTGTGTCAGCTCTTTTAGGATAATTCCCTCTCTCTCCTCTCCCTGTGCTTTCTCTTGTTGTGCTCAGATTGGCAGGTCTTTAGAGTTTGTGCAGCGCTTTAGCTTCCCACGATGCTTCCTCCTGTCTCTGTCTGCTCCATCCCCCTCAGCTCCGAATGGCAGTAATTACAATGAGCCCGAGCTGCGTTTGTCCACCACGACCTCAAAGACCTGACAGCCAACCAGAGCAGACGGCAGCCAAGGAGACAAGGAGAGAGCAAGGAGAAAGATGCTGCCACTGCATAAGAAAATATACTAAAGTGGACAGAATGGAGTGTTATAATGGAGAGAGGTCAGGCATCAGTGGTTCCTGAGGGATTTCAAATTCAGCCTCCAAGTTTAGGAGTTATTCATTTTATTAGACAGTATTTTAATTAAATTTAGGTTGAAATTTAATTCTTTTTAGGGGTCAAAACACTGGAATAGTTTCTAAACAAGGTACATGACAGGATGCTTTCAACTTCTTTGTACTTCTTTGTACTGGAATTCTTTAGTCATTTGATGTCAACTGGCGATGGAGTCTTTGTCGACAAATATTTGTATTAGTAAGATAATCATTTTATTTAGATTGTAAGGATTTATATGGGACAACAGCAGAAAGGAGAAGTGAGTGTATTGCGTGAAGATTTGATATTGTTTGGTATTTACATGTAAAGAGATTAAACTCACACAAAGTTAATCTGTTCTTATATAAATACATTGTTTCTTTGTAAATTTTTTCTGCATAAATAAATGAGAGCAGTTAGGGTCAGGTACATAGAGATAGTTTTGAGAGGTTTTGCTACACCCTCTTTTTACTCTACTAATCAATTGGCAGGACAAGTTTTTAGTCGAACTACAGCCCTATTTTTGTTTTGTTTTGCTTTTTGTGGACCATCGTATCAATTATAGATATTTCAGGTTCTTATTTTACATTTCGGGCATATTGTTCCCTCAATTTCCAAAACTTCTAGTCTCAGTAAAGATGTCATGATAACAAATTCTGATACCATATTAGTACGGAACATTTTCAATAGCCATAGATATGTTTCAACTCTGTACAGCTCAAAAACAAAGGACAAATTCCCCTCTAGTGCAAAAAACTCATTCTAAGTATTGAAATCTATCTGTCATTTAGTGAATATTGAGTTGATGTAATTACAGTGACAGGCTTTTCTATCAATGTAGGCATGTTATATTTTACTTCTCTTTAACCTGACAGCAGATTTTCCCTCTACCTGTCTCTCCGCTGAAGGGTGCTTTGTCATCCCAGAATGCATTGAGGTAAAATGACATGGTATAGAACAGATTATCACAGTGAAACGCATTGTCGCGCTTTGAAATCTTTCTGTTCTTTTGTCTGTGGTCCCTAAGGCGACAGGAGGGAGAGAGAGAGAGGAAAAGACAATTAACAAGATGAAATATGTCTTCTGCTGTGAATGTGCAGTGTTTTGAGATGAAACGGTATTTACAATTTTGAGAAGGAGTTGAGGTGTTGTAAGTATGGGGTTCATTGAGTTCTTGTTTCGTGGTGTGTGTGCTCAGTGCGGTGTGAATGACTGTGATACAATTTGTACGAGAGCATCACCAAAAAGACACAAACGCATGTCTTTTTGTACTGCATGACTATATCTGATTGTATCTGAGTGTAACATATTTCAAATGTTAGATAAGTCTGGATGCTGGAGAAGAAATAAATAAATAAATAAATAAATAATGGCGGGACATAGGAGAGAGAAGCATGGAGAAAACCACATCTTATCTTTTGATTTGCACAACAGTTAAAGGTGCAATGTTCTGATGGAGGGTTTGCTACTTGACTTAATGAATTAAAGAAAAAATAGAGAGACTGGTATATCAAGGCTTTTTAGTAAACTACTGGCCTTAAATCTGAGTTATTACAATGATGTAACTGCACAAAGTGAAACTGCACTGCTCTCTTAAAGGTTTGTGGTTAAAAAGGTTGAGTTTGTAGTAAATTTGAATACTATAATTTGGGGAAAATGATCAAAATCAGTCCTATATATCAGCCCAAAAATATATTTTATTGTTCTGGATTCTAAAAAACTGGCATCAGCCATGACAAAAAAAAAAAAAAAAAAGACATCAGTCAATCTCAAGAAAAAGTAATACTTTGAGACCAACCACCTTTCCTCAGATCTGGCCTCTAACTTGGCTTTAGAGCATCACTAGCATGTCTTCATGAAGATACATACACTGTCAGTCAAAAGTTTTAGAACACCCTAAATTTTCCAGTTAGTTATTGCAATTCAGGTCGTGCAAGTCTAGTGAAGAGCTTGAAATGGTTAATGAAGAGCAGAGGTTTAAAAAAAAAAAAAAAAAAAGATACAAGATAAAAGATCAAGATGGTAAACTTCAAAACATGGAGTGTCCAGCACAGTCTCCAGACTTAAACCCCACTGACCTGGTTTGGGGTGAACTAGACAGAAGAGTGAAAGCCAAGCAACCTACAAGTGCCACACATTTATGGGAACTTCTGCAACAACTTTCTGAAGAATATTTGATTTCTATTGTAAAAAGAATGCCATGAGTGTGTTCAGCTATTATGTCTGCCAAAAGTAGACACTTTCATGAGTCAAAAGTTTAGAATATGTTTTGGTCAACACTAAACAGTAAAAGTAAAAACAGTAAAAAACTGGAAAAAGTGTGGTGTTCTAATACTTTTCACCAGTAGTGTAAGTGCCATACTTTGGAGAATTCCAGGCAAAGTAGTCTGTTTGGAGACAAACGAGTGGCGGATTTCCTGCACAAAAGTTACATGTTTAACTTTTCCTAGGGTTAAATGAAAAGCTGTCACCAACTTATGAGTTTATCAAGAGCTGAAATCGTGACATCATATTTAATTCCCTGTCACAATAGAAAACCTCCATCTTCGGGCTTGGTAGTTGTCAGTTTAACAGGATTTAAAGTTCTGAAGATGTTACACAACTGTCCCCCTCCAGCACTGACAGGCTGTCTTCTTCAGCGGTGCGAGCTAACGCCTGGTCCAGAGAGGATCAACAGGCACAGAGACACACACAGAGCAGTGCTACAAGGGATGAACAGAAATAAAATATTCATGATGCTGGATTTAAATAATCAAGGACGACTTATGTGTGGAGACCATTTCCAAATCACGCACAGTCTTGCTCACTGTGCACTTAGTCTAATTGTAGATTATAGCATCACCATCTGTTAGCTGTATTTGAATCTGAGCATAAAGCGTGTAATCTAAGGATGTTTTAAGATGATTAAACATTTATTTAGTTGGTTTTGGTGCATTGCTGAGTGTAAATAGACTTTGACAAATACAAAATGAAATACTTACCATTCTTCTTCTTGTCTGCAGCGGCGTCCAGCTTCAGTTTCTGCCGTGCGTCTCTGGAGCACACAGTGTCTGCTGAAGAGCTGAGCTACCAACTGCCGCGCCGCAACGGAGGAAGTAACCTCACATGGCATGATGGGCGTGGCCAGAAGGGGGCGCACACACGCACTGTCAAACTGCTGCAACAGCCGGGGACAGAGGGCATCCAGGTAACACGTATATAGAACAGCTTCCATAATTGTGTTGAGTTTTTGAAGAATTTGAAGTGTTGATATTGTCACAACCATAATACTCGACAGTAGCAGTTGGTCGTATGTCGTTTAGAGGCAACACGTAGGACTGGAGGCAGCACAGTGAAAATAATGAGGCTTTCTTTCTTCCAGACGAGGATGGAATGGGAATCAGAGGGAGCTTATGTTTGATATTTTGAAGATAAAATTGGAGAGACGAGACTGAGAAGGCTTTGCTACAAAAAAATAAAAATAAAAATTCAGTATTGCTGATTTTATTACAGGGAAACTTTAAGACAACATTGTGACTATGATTTCACAAGCTTCATCCTTCAGGCCAGTCATGTCCATATTATGGCCCAGGGTCCAAATATGGCCCACAGACTCATTTTTCTTGGTTAATTGGCCCCTGTTACTTAGTAGTTTTTTTTTTTTTTTTTACCTACCTTGACAAAGCCAATATAAAATATTTACAGTGTGCTTTTGAGGATCTAAACCTGAATGAAGGATTCATTCTAACCTGTTATAAATGCACATATTTTGATTATTTGCTGTAGTGACTGTCAGTCTGGCCCTTGATCCACCCTCTGCTTCGGACTCCCCTGTTTTAGGCATTTAAGTGTATTCTTTTGTGCATGTGTGTGGTTGGTGTCATTTGGAGTTATGTAACATATGGCAAGTGTAGTACACGACATGTTACAGCACTCAGACAATACAAGAGTACGTGTCATATAAAATATAAAACTGTTGGGAGCTGTTACTCTAACTGCCTCATTGATCAAAAAGAAAAAGAGTAGTAGATCATTTTAAAAGGCGTTCTTTCAAAGTATTGTATTGTTGGGTTTCAGACAACATCATAACATTCAATAGGACAATATTATTAAATACAGATTGGGGGCAGGTAAAATTCATATTATTAAAAAGCAGATTTCTGTTGTAATACAGTGAGTTCTAGTCACTAACAGAAATGATTGGGTTCAAGAATTAGAATTTACTTTTTGGCTATTTCATGGCAAAGTACAGTGTAATCTATTGGGGAAACAATCTAGGAGTACAACATCCTCACTTTCTAGAAACTGAAAACCGCTGATAACTGCAACTTTTTTCCTGCTTCTCTCCTAAGTAAATGAAACTTTACAGACTGATACTTTCAAATAGGAACACCAGCAGTTGTAGATTTTATGTCTATTTTAGGTCCATCTTCAAAAATAGCATGTTCTCAACTGCCATCCCCTCAGTCTCGTACATGAAAGAGGCCAGGGAGCTCCGAGCGGGTCATTTGTTCCATTTTCTGCTGGTATTAGGCAACATTGTTACCGTAAGGCTGTGAGATGTTCATGTGCAGTGCGGGATTGCTCAATAATTCATAAAGAGTGGCCCCCTCAGCATTAGCAGCTATAAAAGGCTTAATAAAGATGGGTATGGAGCTGTTTCCATGTGATTACACTGGGACTGGATAATTAAAGCTCTCCATAGCATGCGGAGTGAGCGTTATCATTCCCTGTGGCTACACGACTTAATGCATTATTCAACAAATGGAAGAAGTCCAGTTTTGTTGTTGGTGCACTTTTGTATGGTGTAATCATTCACAAAACCAATCTATAGTGTCTATGGATTTCTTTAGGTGTTGAATTTGTCTCTAAACTACACATATTTTATGTGCAGTAAAGGCATTCACTTTTTAAGATGTCTTCCTTTGACTACTACAGGTTGGAAAGTTCAGTGAAAGAGCATACCAGATTTTTTTCCATGTATTTGAGCTAAATATGTCTTTTTGTCCCAGTACAGATATACTGTATAAGCAACTCTTGTGGTCAAGATAAATCGACATTGTATTGTCTGCAAGTAATTATAAGAAAGTGCAGAAAGTGTGCTGTTTGGATGCTAGGTGTTACCATTACAGCTCATTACATTGATGACAAAACCTATGCACTGGTCTTCTGGATTTATAAAACTCATCATGGTGAATAAATAGGATGCTCAGAATGCACAAAGTAAGTGAGGAATAACTTTGAACCATGATATTTACTATATTGTCTATTCATTCAATATATAATAAACGGAACAATAATTGGGGGTTTTGTTTGTCCATTTTCTTTGGGGATTGTTTTTTTTGCAGTATAAGACTTAAGATTTAAGATTTATTACTTACTTACTTATTTACCCTATTTTCCGGGCTATTAGACACGCTCTTAAGCCTCTAACCCCATCAAAAAAGACCACCCGCCCCGCAATCCAGAGCTCCCCATACACGAATCCACTTGGGTGTCCCAACACGACTTCAGTAAACTACAAAGCCGCACCACCCGCAGCGCACGCAAACACGCACAGAGCAGACAGCGACCGCACAGCGAAACACACCAGCAGCCACACTCATCACTCCACGAGGACAAGGAACGGAACGGAGGAACAAACTGAGAAAGCGAGTCCAATGTGTCACTCTGAGCCACAACTGAACAGCTGAGTCACTGCGAACACGTCAACCATCCTGTGGTCCCAGACAGCACCCTTCCTATGCGCCACATTTGAACAAAGCCCAGAGTCACCGTGAATGAGCCAAACAAAGTCCTACTGACCCATCGAACTGTTGTGTTTCATTTAAAGTCCGGTGAGGTTTATTTGTGAAAAAAGTTTGAAAATAGACCATTTAATAATCCAGAGCGCTTAATAGCCTGTAAAATACAGTAACTGTTTCATTCTGCTTTATTGCAGCTCATGTTTTTTTAAAAAACAATATTCTACATTAAGAATCCTTTTGGGGATAATTCTGCTTTATGGTTGGGTTTCAATTTTATCGTTTATCATCTCTATTTGCAATTTATCACTTGAAATTTGTTATGACAGACCTATGAACCATTGCATTTTTGAGATAGTAAACATGTAAGTTGCAGTTCTGAAAATCCTAGATCATTCCTGTTCTTGTCCAATAAAACAGTGATATTCTACATTGGTCATAATGTTAGCTTGCCGTGTAAAGCGTGTCTTTGTACGCGTTTCTCTTGGGAATGCTCATTATACTGGTCTGATTACTTTACTTTGCTTGTGCACACTTGAGCAGTAATGAGAGAGAAGTTAAGAAACCTATACACTGCTACCAGGGGAACTAATGTGTGATAACGCTAATATTAATTTTGTTCTAAGCACTTCAGTCCCAATATATAGATTTTGTGAAGTGAGCAGAAAGGCTGTGCTAGTATAGGAGTCTAAATCTGAACTATAGAGCTGAAGCTATAATTTGAATGATCTATTATTATTACTATACAGTCTCTAAAACAGATAGTTCAACAATTAAAACAGCTCTAAACAGCAGATGATGTGTTATTTGTTTGGGGTATTTTTTTAGATAAAGGGAAGGAAGTTTTGTCATCTGGTCTTGCCATATCCTCTTTGCTTTTGTGAACTCTGAGTATTAGCTGTAGTTGACTTTCCCAGTGCCCTAATATGAGAAAAGGGACAATTGTATTTCATTTTGCTGCCTCAAACAACTCCTGCTCTACCTTTGAGATGAGCGCAGGGAATAGGAGAAATAACAGGGGGACAATTTAGGAGGCAGCAGCCAGAGAGTGTCGTCTTTCTTCTGAAACCCTCACTGAGCACTACAGAAGGTGCAGCCCTGGCTCTCATTTGTCATGCTGGAGGAGAGCGCATGCACCCGAGCAGGAGGCAATTATACCAGTGTCCCCATTAGAGGACATAGAGACTGACCTTTGAAGCAACACTTTGCACCACAGTGACAGAACCAAAAGGAACAATGAGAGCCAAAACAAGCACTATTAGTCAACGTAAGCACCAAGAAGCATGCTGGGAATTTGATAAAAGGTATGGTAGAATAAATTGTAGCAGCCTGAGATGTGAAGAGAAGATGCATGATGCTGACGAAGTTTATTCATCATCGGTACAGGGCCCAGCACCCAGACACATGAACCCTCAAGACATTATGATAGTGTTGTCCATTCTAGTCTATCCAGTCCAGTCTGGATATGCTTCCTTTGTACGGAGTATTGTACCTCTGTTGACGTAGAACAAGATAACAAGGACTGAGCTTCCAGTAATAGCAGTAACACAGCACCAAAATGGAATTTTTCTATAGGCACCCTTATCTTACCTGTAGCACAAAATATACCCAGATCTATAGCTTTTGCACATGGTCACAGTTTCATATCGCAAAATTAATAACATTTTCATAGTATTGAAACTAAATAGATAGATTACTACTACATTTGAATAAGTAAAGATGAAGATGAGAAATAGAGTTGTGCAAAAATATTGAAATATTGAATAGTTATAGTTAGTTAGAATAGTTAGTTAATAATTTGATGATACAGTATTGATATCGTGAGCTGCGGTATCGGTATATCGCCAGGAGTATTTTTTAGGTATATTTTACTAAATTATTTTGTGTAAGAGCTACAGTTGTGTTGACATTTTCACTGTTTTGATGAGTAAAATTGGTGTTTTTTATATTAACTTTGAACAAATTTAGTAGATTTAGTAGACTTTTAGTATCACAGCCATGATTTAGGCTTTGTTTTTCACTGAACCATAATCAGATCAATTTGAAATATATTGTATCAAATTGTGTTGGATAGAAAGTGCACTGTATTGAAAAGCATATCGTATATTGTGGCCTATGTGTAGAGGTCTGTATCTTATTGGCAAATTCTTACCCAGAATGGCCTTAATCTATCAGAAGATCAGGATCATTAAAGAAAGTAATATTATTTTGTGTTGAAAATTATATTCCATTATTACACTAAACTGAGGAAGGTAAGGCAAGTTTATTTGTATAGCACAATTCATACACAAAGTCATTCAAAGTGTTTTATGGAATAAGAAAGACATTCAAATACAAACAAATTAAAACATATCATCATAAAATTAACACAAAGAGAAGTGCAGGATAAAAACCTTTCACTCATACGCACAAGAAGTGTGAATTTCCCGTACGTACACATCCAACATCACCCTAGTAATTTAAG